AAGATGAATTTTAGAAATATGTGACAAACTAATAACATCACAGAACTATGAGGAACACTCCTATTAGGACCGAGTGCACTCTCCCTTTAATGAAAATTTAGAAGAAATATCTAAAAACCTACAATAATGAGACAGAGAATAAAACAGCCATCTTTATGTAAACAGCTGTTAATTGCTGCAAAAGAAATTCAATTCCACATATCACATATATTCTTTGGTAAAGAAATTGGACACCTAAATTAATCCAAGCACAATAGCTCTTAGATTCTTACTGGTTAGTTTGGAATCTTATTGGTTATTAAGTTCTGCACTTTAGCCTGGCTTTTTTCGCTCTTTTATCCTTCGTTCTAAGAGGCACTGTCCCCCTTGGAAATTTTCTGGAGTAATCTTTGTTAAGACAATTTATTCCACTCTAAAAAATAAGATACACTTCAAACAAGCTGTATCCATAATTGATTTCTAATGCCCTTCTTGCCATCAAAAGGATTATCTTGTATAGATGAGACCTTGCTCCCTTATGAGGACTTCTTATACTCATCCTAATATGAAGAAAGGGATTTTGTTAATTGAGGTGCTCACATCCCCATACAGAAAGGCCAGCCTATGTGAACCTCAAGTATGCTTTGACTTGAAAGGCATAAAGAAAAGCATGCTGAGCACCAACATTAAAGGAGATGAAAACGGAGCGGTTAAGCTGAGGTAATGACTCTGTCTGTACCTTGTAGAATAAATAGCCCTAGACCTGGCAATAGTAATGCTATCAAGGAGGGTCAATGGATAAGTTAATTCTCATTCCAGGCAAGTTGGCTTCAATCTGAAGGTGGAAGATGGAAGGCGTTTTATCACAGCAGTTCACTGAAGTCCATTGTCTTGGTTCTGGCAGTTAGTTCTCACTCTCAATTCACTTTTATACTGAAGGCAAGTTTTATGAAAAGACTGTGCACACTCCCTGCAGTCTTCCTGTGCAATCTGTCTGCAAATATGTCATGAGGTGATTTGCACTGTGCGCACTACACTTAAAGAATGAGCCCCATTTTAACCTTTGCAGGCTCCCTTTTCTTTTCTACATGACATATACTTGCATTTTGTTTCAATATTAGCAGCTGGGAGTGATGAGAAACATTCTAAAATAAACAAAGTTTCCCCAGCTTAATTCTTGGCTTATTACCGCAAATTAAAGCTCTTTGTCAGGCCTGACAACTTTTTTTTTCTATTATAACAATTCTTGAATTAACTTTTACATGGTTAATCAGCCAAGTAAATCTATTGTATAGCTTGCCAAGACATGTATTGATTTGGTTTCCATTAACAATACACGAGGACAATTTGGCACCATATTTTAAAACTTACGTTTTAACTATAAAGTAGGCCATTCTTTAAATTCTTAAAGGTCAACAGAAAGAGCTTATGTCTACATGATCTTATTTCTTTACTTACTATATTTAAATGTGGATGGCACATATGATTTAAAAAAAATATGCAGACACATTAACCTTTAATGGACAAAAAAATTCAAATAGAAATTTGTCAATTTTGCCTTGAAACTACATTATTTCTGAGGGGGGGTGCTTTCACTATTATCCAGAGGCTGTCGACGGGCTCCACACAGGAAATCAGAGGAGGAAGAGGCTGTTACCTCTGAGCTGCGCCCCCCTCCTCCACATGGGCCACAATGATGCCATGGGGGGACCTCCTGGAGCCCCGGCCTCCTGTGATCTGGATCCCCAGGCCATCCTGCCCTTTCACCATGTGCATCTTCCATATGCGACTGCCTTCTCTGGGCTGAGAGGACAAAAGCGGACATCAGAAGCTCATGAATATTCATGCTGTTTGTTCATCAAGCCAGTTGTTCTTCAGCTCCAGCTTCACTAACACAATTCACACTTCATCATTCTCAATTCTCAGTAAGTGGCAGCGTCGCTCGTGCCCTTCACTGCCTATGTTGGGTTGCTAAAGAAACCACTTTCAGCTCTAAAAGGGCTGCAAAATGCAAACAGTCTCATTCTCTTGGGAGTCACCACCCACTCTTGTCTTTTCTTAGTATGGAATATGCGGTTACCTTCCAAACACACAAAAGAGGACACCACTCTTTCCAGGAGGTGCATTAACCTATGTTAACAAGTCTACATCATGCTTTACATTTTTGCCTATATAAAAGCTGTAAAAAAGCACGCTGTTAATCCAAATTTAGCTGAGCAGTGTCTACACAGCAAAGTGAAAAAGGAAATCTTGCTGGGCACAAAACCAATTTGCATTTGTTTACTATGATCTGTTTCAGTTCTTATCCAGAATCTCTCCTCTTAGAACATTATTTGTGATACTCGAGTCATCCCTAAAAAGACTATTTTTTAGCACATTAAAACCCAGGTTTGATATTTCGAAACAAAGCATCCTATTAACATCAGTCACTCTTAGTGGCTCAGCCTTATATTACATAAGGTGCACAGGAAACTGTACATTCTAAAAATTGAAAAAAGTCTTCTACTACATAATTAAGGACTATTTTTGCAGTTGAGACACCCTTGTGAGTGTAAAGTTTAAATACTCTGCTTAACTAACTTTGTTGTCTTGAGTAATGTGCAGCAGATTATTTGGTTTGTAGTATATGCATGCTGTTTTGGTGAAAGGGGAACTTTGTATTTTTGGCATCTAAGGTCTGAAAATGGCCCTACTAAGTTATATACAAACTTTATTGTGAGAAGTCTAAATATAAAACTAAATCATCTAATCTAGTTTATGGAGCACATACTGTCCATTAAGGCATATCTTATTTATATTTCAGGCTGGCTACATATTTAAAATTCAATTTTTATTTAAAATGTATGCTGCATAACACATTGTACTCTCATTCAAAAATCAATTAAGACTGCTGCTTTTGTTCTCACCCTGTGGAGCACAATTAAAGAGAAAAGTAACCTTTGCTTTAAGTATTCTTCTATTCCAGAGTGGTGAAAACACTGCTATTGGAAAATGACAGATTATCAACTTTAAATTTATCTCTTGGAGCATTTTTATCTTTTTAAAAACAAGACACTATATGGGTCGGATGTCTGAGAAAAATCAGCTGAACCCATTATAAAAATAGCCCTTTCAAGTATCTACAGCTTACTATAAATAATTCATCAACAACTCTTTGGAGCACCTGTATCTGATGGGTACTTGTCAGCTCTTTGTGGACTTTTACTATAAAACAGTAACAGATTGTATTGGAGATGATGTATTTTAACGTGCTAATGTAAGTTGGAGTCATTTATGTAATGAGAAGGTCAATCGAATACACATTTTTGAAGAATAAGACAGAAGAAGAAAATTCAAAGCCAATGCATTCAATCTTAATTGCTGTATTAATGCATTAATAGATTATGGATTACAATATAAAATAATACTACAGAGGTATGTTAAGCCAATTTAAAAGTTTACAGAAATAGGAACTAAATATGATGTAAATATGGAGACTTCAAACATTTATGTAAAAAAGACCAGCAGTCAACTCTTAACAAATGATATACGCCTGCACGATTAAGATATCACTGTCTTAACATACTAGTTAAAACAACCATTACAGTGCCTTAAGAAATTCTTAATCCCCCTTAACTGATCAGCACAAATACTCTATAATGTCAAACTGAAACACATGTTCTGGAAGCTTTTACATGCAATTAAAAAGAAAACACTGACATATCTTGTTTTGATAAGTATTCACTCATATGCTATAATACTCAAAATTGAGCCCAGGTGTATCTACCTTCCTTGTGAAATCATGAATAGAATTCACCTGTGGTCACTTCAATTGGTTAATATGATTTCAGAAGAAATACACCTGTCTATATAAGGTCAGACAGTTGACAGCATGTCAGACCAGAAACTCCAACATAATCAATAATAGAAATGTGAGGAGGCTTAGATCTGGGGAGCAATATAAATACCTAAAATGAAAGCCTGCAGCCATTTATATCATCCTGCAACTCACAACTAGCGACCCACTATATCTAGGCAGGTGTGTGCCTGGATGGGAGACCTCCTGGGAAGGTTGCTGCCAGAAGAGGTGTTAGTGGGGCCAACAGGGAAGGCTCACCCTGCAGCCTGTGTGGATCCTAATGGCCCAGTATCAAATGAGACGTAAAAGTGAGGTTCTGACTCTGTGTGGTCATTAGAACCCCGCGGTATTCCTCGAAAAGAGTAGGGGTGTTACATGACAACCTGGCCAAATTTCCCATTGGCCCTTTACCAATCATGGCCTCCTGATAATCCCCGATCTGTGAATTTGCTTCATCACTCTCTTCTCCTCCCCACTGATAGCTGATGTGTGGTGAGTGTACTGGCGCACTATGGTTGCCGTGCTGAGTGCTGCACATTGACGGTAGAAGTTGGGGGGTCCCCATTATTTAGAAAGTGCTTTGAGTGGAGTGTCCAGAAATGAGCTATATACTGTAAGTGTAGTCATTATTATTATTATTACCTATCGAGGCTGCTGAAAGCACACAGCCATGTCCATCATTAGGAAATGAAAAGAATACAGAACCCCACAGACTCTTCTCAGACTGAGCAAACAGACAAGAAGGACCTTGGTCAGAGAAGTTACCAAGAACCCAGGGACCTCCCTGACAGAGCTACAGATTCTCATGGTTGAGATTGGAGAACTTGTCCAAGGACAACAACTTTTGCAGCACTGCACAGATTAAAGGGGAACTGTGACGCTATTTTTACATTTCAGGGCTAGAAAGAATCAACATTGATGCGTGCATTTCAAACCACAATAAAAATAAAGTCGCAGTAAATTGTAAAACCTCAAATTTACAAAATAGATTGATTTCTTGGTACAGTATGTATAGAACCATGTTCTATGATTCAGATCAATGCAACAAAACACTTAGTGACATTAAGCCCTGTTACATTGTAAACACGCAGGCTTGTGAATACATCTCTTTAATCCAATAGAAATATGGCTCTTGACTTTGAGACAGTTTTGCTAATAAATGCTACCTTTTAACTCTGCAACTCTGTTGCAGATTTTATTGCAACACTTATGTGGTGAAATGTCTGCAACACAGCCTGTACTTTTTCACTCATACATCGCCTTACATTGGACATTACAGTGACTAGTGAGCAGGAAGGGCCGCTTCACATCATAACTTGGGCGGAGCAGTGGCACTCTGGCTAAGGATCTGTGCCACAGATCTGACGGTTGGCAGAGGAATCCTACTTCGTTGGGCCTCTGAGCAAGGCCCTTAACCCCAACTGCTCCAGGGGCACTGTACAATGGCTGTCCCTGAGCTCTGATCCCTGTCTGTGTGTCTCATGGAGAGCAAGCTGGGGTATACAAAAAAGACAAATTCCTAATGCAAGAAATTGTATATGGCTCATAAACTGATCTTATCTTAACTTGTGCAAACTCTCACCCTTGCCAATGATGAGACCAGCAGTTTGCAACAACACAGCAACATACAGTATTTTCACAAAACGTCCCAATTTCATGCTTAATTCTAAATTTGTAATTTTTTTTCTATACCATCAATTAATTTATTTTGTTACAGTGATTTAAAAACCAGTCTGAGAAATAGGGATTTCAGTTCCCCTTTAAGCTTTAATTTGTGAGTGGCTAGACAGAAGCTAATAGCACACCTGGAGTTTGCAATAAGGCACATGGCAGAACCTAAGACAATGTAGCAAAAACATTCTCAATTGCAATAAAATTGGCAATTTTACAGGGAGGATGAATACTTTCTGAAGAAACTATATAACCAATCAGAAATAAAAGTTAAAACATTCATACATTATACTGTAATTGTAATTGTAATTACATCTTAAACACATGCAATACACATACTGTAAATGAAAACAAAAAAAGTGAAAAAAGAGCTTAATAAATTGACCCAATAAAACCAAGAGTAAAACTTAATTACATATTCTTTATAACTCTGAAAAGATAGGTCTTTGCAGAGTTTTAAAAGTTCTGACAACACAGAGTCTACAATGGAATCGGGCAATAAGTTCCATTGATGTTTCGCTATACATGTGTCTGGTCTTATGTAGAGTAAGAAAGCCTGAAACAGCAGACCTCAGATTAATTGCTGGAGTGACAGAAAACAATTATTAGTAATGCAATTGTTGGAAATGCAATAGCCCCTTAAAATAAATATAGAGCAGACAATTCACTGCCCTATATGTGAGCAGAACAATCTGAAAGTGTACTTTAAAGGCCAAAATCAAAGAAATACATGTAAGTTAAATACTGATTAAAAGTGTTTTTAGTCAATACACAAGCTGTAGTTTTCTGGACAAAAATATGCCTATTTAGTAACTTAGTGGATATCCAAATAAATAAGTCCTTACAGAAGACTTATTTTAATGGGATGTAGATACAGGTATGTATTAATATTTCACCATGAGATAGAGCAAGAGCCAAAATGTAGCACTGAGTACTGCGGGTGAAATAAACGTCAATATGAAATATGCGGATGAAATAAAGATGCCATTCTGGTGTTCTTGACATGAGTTCCAAATGACAGCACAGAGTCAAAGATAACATCATAGTTTCTAAATTCTATCCGAAGTTTAACTCAGCACCATCAACAGCACCAAGGTTACTGACACTGTGAATGGTAACTTGGGTCTAAAACCTTCGAAGGCAGTGTATTCCCTAGTGCTCGCAAAATTAGCTGTGCCAAGCGATGTGAAAATCCTCCAAGGTACAGAGGTTAACAGAACGCTTCCTGTTTGTACTCAACCAAGGTCAGCAACTGAAGGCAACCAGAACTGCAGCCACAACTCTCCCGACAGCG